ATTAAACATTCTACGGTTCTAAAGTGGTGGGTATCAATCGACTAGTGATTATCTTTGGTTTTAGTATTACAGAAATATTTGTCTTCCCTGAAAACTAAGAGTAAACTTGACAGAAGGGGCCAATTTTTTAAATGGCTGACACTTAAAGGTCCTTACTTGGGAAGGTGTTTGTGCTCTTAGTGTGGTGTGTCTCAGACAAGTGGCAGCCTAATGGAGGATTTTTTGAAGAATATTGTGTTAGTCTCAATATATTCCTGTGCAGCACCCTCATCTATCCCTGGGTCTTTGCCCACTAAGGGCCTTCAGTATTCCAAAATCTTTGTTTCCCTCCAACAGGGCAGCTAGAGGGAACTGGCCTCTTTTCATGGAGACTTGTGTTTCAAAATCCAAGGTCTCTTCTTCTACTCCCTGCTTAACTGATTTTATTTTTTCAAGTAATTTGAGGAAACCTTGCTTGCTTCTTCAGGTACCAGAATTCCTACTTATGACTCTGAGAGGCAATGATGCAAATCAGAGTTATGATGGCAAAACAAGTTTTGTTATAAATAATACATAAGAATCAAAACAGTAATTTTCTCCTCTTTTTCTCCTGCTAGAAGAAATGCTTAAAATTAACTTTCAAATGTTTAATAACGGTATTAGACATGTCAAAAATCAAAGCTACCACCAAAAATGAAAAATGTTTTTTAAATACACCTGCAAATACACATACACCCACACACACACACACCCCCATACATACAATAAATGCTAGTGTCATTGCAGTGAAATCTTGAAGAATTTTGTTCCATAATACCTTATTTCCAAGTATCAAGATACTTCAAAAGAAAAAAAATTAAATTTTAAAAAAAGAAAAAAAAATCATCCCTATGGGTACTTCCTCTTTCACTACCACAGAATCTTTCATCTTTTGAATTGCCATAACTGAAATGTTCATTGCTTGGTGGTCAACTTCTTCCCTTATCTTTGCCAGCCAAAATCCTTTTACTAAAAGCCTAATTTAAGTGTTAATTCCTGCTGAAACATCCTCTGATCTGTTTTCCTAATCTTATATCCTCTCAATCCTTATCCTTCTTGTTCTCTTATATTATGTGACACTATTATCAACCTTCCTCTCCAATGTACTCTCCTTTCTTTCTCTCTTTTTTGTGTTGATGCTCTTTCTTTTTTCTTCTTCTACCTGTCTGTTCATTCCTCAGTCTCCTTTGATGGATCATCATCCATACACCAGTCCCTTTCTGTGGGTGAAACTTAAAACTCTGTTTTGGGCTATTTTCTCTTCTCTTTGTCTCTACACTCTCACAGTGACACCATCAACTTCCATGGTTTTAATTATCATTTCTATGCAGATAACTCTTAGATCTGTATATCTATCTATAATCTCTCTTTTGAATTCCAGGCCCCCCTCACCAATACTGGACATTTCCTATAGGCATCTAAAAGTCATTATGTATCAAAGATAACTTTTTCCCCCTTCAGAATATACCCCTCTTCCAGATTTCACCATTTCTTTCAAGGGCATCACCATCCTTCTGATTATTTAGGCTGCAACCTCAGAGTCATTCTTAGCTGCTCTCTCATTCAGTTCCACATATCCATTCAGTTGCCAAATTTTGTCAATTCTTTCTTTGCATCTCTTGCATTCATGCCTTTGTCTCTATTGATGTACCGCCACCCACTAGTTCAGACTGTCATAAGCGCCTT